CGAAGCTCTAGCTCGATCAGGGGCGAAACGGCAAGGGGGGTCCAACGGACCCCCCCCCCCCCTTATACGTTCGCGGCTGGAAAAACACCAATACGGGCGAGGGTTAAACAAATAATTTAAACAAATAAGTTCTTAAACAAATAATTGAAGTTGACCTTTTCCTTCACATAAAAAGTACACTGAAAACAAATTCACCTAAGGCTGGCGAGTAAACCTGTGCCACGCAAGTACCCCTATCCGCAACCATTTTTGACCACCCCTCCTGGAGTAAGGGGTAGGTCCCATTGCTGGGTAGTAGTACCCGCTCTCAGCGGACACGCTCATAACTCTGACGGGTATAGATCTGGGATAACTCCTTGAGGGAAAGGTCTACTTACTCCTTCTCATGATGTTACAGCTCGCTATTCAATTCACTCTGGAAAGTAGTAGCCCTTCACGGCTACCCTCCACAGACAGGTAACCCTTGTCGCCTGCCTTGCTGCCGCGCCCCAAAAACCCCTAAAAGAGAGTGGTTAGTAGTTACCCTCCACTCCTACCCTTCGCTCGCGTGAACCCAAAAACTCTCACGCTAGTCCATATTTGCGGAAATATCACTGAAAATTGGCAATCCCATGCTTGGAAAACATACCTCACCTTGGTGGGAAGGCTTACATTGAATTTCCATTGAAGATTTGACAAGACCGCCCCACCATGGAGTTACGCATACAGTAGAATCCGCTTAATAAATCCTCGGATAATAAATCCAGCCGCTTACTGTGGCCGCCTGAGCCTTTCACGGATTTTCTCCATAGATAACCATGCTTAATAAATCCGCTTAAAGGTAGTGTGCCAGCTTTCCTGGACCATATGGAGTTACTGACCCGGATAAGGAGAACCGGATTTTTAGAACTTATCCATACCTTCAAAACTCATGGAAACGTCTTAAATTCTTCAAATTTTGAGTACCCCAGTGCGAAATTCGCCCCGAATGCACACACTAAAATCGCTATTACCGATAGGTTCATCCAATCAAGTTTCGATAAACCCGCTCATCATCATCTCCTGCGGTTTCGAACACGCCTGTTAGGTGGCTTCTGCTCATACTTACTTTGTGGTGCGGTGGTGGTGCGTCTGGCCTCGCGCTCTGACTTCGGCCAAGAAAAATGCGTCAGCTGATCATTGTCATTTCTGTCACTTTCGTGTGGTGAGATGGGGTCATAACTTAACCCTATTAGTGGCAGGCTCCTGGCTACCCCTATTAGTGGCAGGGGGGGGGGGGGCTGTTTACGACCCCCCTTGATATCTCGAGATCTAACGGGCCGATTTTCAAAATTCAAACGGCATTCGATTTCGCTCAACGTGATCTACATTTCTAAAAAAATAAAAATTAAAAAATGTCAATAGGGGGGTAGAGGGGGGTAAAAACGGGCAAATTGCAGATACATTTTAGACTGTTTATCACGGCCAGGTTTCTGAACCAATCTTAACGCAACTTTCGCCGATCGATAGAGAATGAACCAGGAATTCACATGAATCCTAAAAATATGCATTTTCAAAAATCATAGGCGGATACAGATCATTGAGATTGGGGGTACACAAAAAGTATAGTAAATAGGGTTTTTGTTGGTACGGTTTCTAAAAAGGGTGGTAATGGTCTTGTTATGTTACAATTTTCTTATGAGAGAACGACTACAATTGTATTGGTCATGCATAGGCGGTGTCAGGGCACCTATGTTGGGAGGTAAGACATAACCCCCCTTTTTGGACGCCTGGATCCGCCTATTATAGCAAAAACGTGTCAAAAGAGGATGCACAATAACTGTATATGTTATCACATGATACCTTTCATTCACTGTTCGTAAAACTGGTGCAGCATCGTGATCTTCGCCCGAATGACTCGCTTCACGAATAGGACCCCCCAATTCCCAGTAATCTGGAGCCGCCCCTGGTAAAGTTATGAACTTGAAATTTTCAGGGAATGTGCCCAATTTAGTTTTAGGAAAAGTCAGAAAATTTCAGCATCGTAGCTTCAGCGGTTTCGGAGATATTCCCGAAAAACCTGAGGGGTGGATGAAAACAACCCCCCCTGCCACTAATAGGGTTAAGAGACGGCTGTTATATCAATTGTTTTACATAAAATCATATTTCAAACCATAAATTAATGTTCGACAGCCAAATTAAAGAAACAATACCAATACAGGCTTACAGTTCAAGTCCGACATTGTGTTGTCTACGATTAGACAGCTGATAACTCATTCCCGTACGTCGTAATTCTATAATGACCTTTGCTTATTGTCACATGTGCGCCGCATTCGCGATTGTTGCCGACGCCTGTTTGCAGGTCAGCCCACTACAGTTGTTATACATATCGAAAAACCGATAAACTTTTAGGCAAAAAAGCACTATTCCAGGCCCATTTTTGATTTTTTGCGATATTAGGTAAAAACAGAAGCTTCTTATCCTAGGAAAAATAAAATGGGAAATCATTGGAAGGTTGCACACTCCCTTTAATAAATCCACGTACTCCACTTAACCCGCACCCCGGTGGGGGTCCTAGATTTCCGCGCCCTGCTGTGGGGGGGGGGGGTGTTCAAACACCCTCGATAAGTGTTCTGGCCAATAGCCATGTTTTATGAGCTATATTATAAATGACAGTGGTTTCACTCGTTAGTTTCGGAAGAAAAGGCGTTACCTCTAGTCCCGTGATGAATATTGTGGAGGTTTGAAGATGCATCTTGACAACGTTACTTTCGCTCCACTTGAAAACCGCCAAACAAACAATGTGCAAATATGTCATTGGTGCAAAAAAGGTTAACCCGCGCACCGACGGGGGGCGGATATCCGCCCCCCCCCCTGAGGTTTTTTTTCGTGGATAGCGGGAAAACCGCGACGCGTAGCGCCGCAAAATTTGGTAAGACTATTCTTTCATCAATTTTACACATGATGTGCAATTTTGAACCTCTTACCTTTTAAGGTCAGGTCACCAGGTCACTTTGAATGACCCAACCTCAAGTCACTTTTTTGCAATTTTGTCACCGTGCCAGAGCTACAGTAGAATTCGGTGGCCTTTGAAAGTCTCAGGATGTTATTAGGTCATTAATAGCTACAATTTGTATATCTCGGAATTTTGATATCGATAATCTTAAGTCAGGTCAATTTCTCGAACTCCCCATTATAAGTCAATGGGGGAAAAATCAACTCCCTGTTTTTACCACTAAAACGGGTCAGAATGGCCCATATACCATACATGACTTCATATACGATCAACCTTCACTACCTTGAGGTCTGCTTTGCTGTTGGGCAGCTGTAAGGTCATGTGACGTCATCAAAGGTCACCAGCGGTTTTTTTTGACAATAACTGTCACGTGACCTGAGGTCAACCTTGGACCTTGACCTTTCGAGGTCACCATTTATATAATTCGATGCGGATTGACGAGAGGATCACGATGATGCCCTTAATTTGTTCCTATCCTGACTACTTCGAAAGTTATTCGAGAAAAACTCCATATCTAACGCCGCCATTTTGACTTTTTTGACCCCTGTGACGTCATCTTTGACCTGACCTGAAAATGACCTTTGTAAAAATTGTAGACCTTGTCCGTGCGTACCCCATGCCGTTTACCGCTTGCCGCTATCTTGCTTCGTTCTCGAGATCTCGGGGGGGGGGGCGGCCATCCGCCCCCCCCCCCGTCGGTTCTAAGTTGGCGCAGACCCCCGTCGGTGCGCGGGTTAACATCGCTTTTATTCGAAACTGAATGAAACAGCGCCATCTAGGTGTGGTACTTGAGTCTTCACGATGCCTCGAGTACTTCCAACTCCTTCAGCAAAGCTTATATCAAAATCCACCACCCACGGATACGCGGATGCGATAGCTCGAGTAGTTCCAACTCTTTCAGCGAGGGTTTCTCTTTCAGTTTCCAACTACTAATAGGTAAGTACCCTACCTGAGACTGCGTGTACGGTGCATAGTTTCGAGTACAAACGCAGATTATTCTGCATACCCTCGAACTATGTAAATTGTAAAATCTGGACTGGACATGCCGAGTTAATGCGCATATACTAGAGACTAGATGTCAATCGGATGCCAACTTTTTGGTATACCGATGCCAAACCGATACCAACTTGGTATTTGGTATTTCAATCCTAATGTACTTGATATTTTGTTGGTATTATGAGCCCTCACTGATGTATAAGAAGGCTGAGAAATTGGTAAAAAGTCGGTATTTCCCTCATGTTATGAAGTTGGTTCGGTATCGGTATTTCCTTACGGTTTATGTTGGGATTTGGTTTGGTATCGGTATTCAGATGTTCTGTAATCGACATCACTAGCATATACCACCCGCAGAGCACGACTTAATTCGCCGGCTCCGGGTCAAATTGTTTTCAGTGTAAAGACCGAGAAGTAAATTCAATATTCCAAGTCAACCGGGACAGCCAAAATCTGCAACGTCCGAGATTTTGTTAAAACTTGGTATACTTGATAGCTATTGAGTGAAATCTTTGAGGGTGAAAGACTTTTGTCATATATCCTCGGGCTACGGAGATATTGGTATGCTTGATAGCTATTGAGTGAAATCTTTGAGGGTGAAAGACGTTTGTCATATATCCTCGGGCTACGGAGATACAGGCCGCTAAACGTCTACCTTTTGAGTAAAATTTGACACGATTTGCAATCTTTAAAGATCTAGGTATAACTTCAACTTCGTGTGCTCTGCATCACGATAGGCCTGTAGATAGGTGAATTTTGGCATGGTATATCGGTCATATATCAATCAATCTCAATCCCAAGTTCGTCATCGGCATAGTACTTCCTCACCTTTGTATTCTATCCTACAGGCATACCTTAGTTTTTTACTTCACTATGTCAGTCATCTATCAAGGATTGCATTCCCCTGGGCAGTTAAACTATAGAGCGTGTTGCGGCCATCATAACAAGTGAATCAATAGGGCGCCTGACTGGGTGTATGGCTGCCGGAGCGCGGGGCGGGGCGGGCCCACGGTCGCCGCCGGTCGCCGCTCACCTGTTGTCGGCAGTAATACTGGGGCGGCAGCCGGTCGTCACCCAGTATCGCCTCCACCAGCCGTAGGCCGTCCCCCGAGTCGCCGCGGCACCGAGCTTCCACCGGCTCCGCATCGCGGCGCCACCGTCGCCGGCCGTCCTCTCGGCGCTGAGCAGAGCCGCAGTCGAGGCATGGATGAAAGAACCATGGATGAAGGTTCTCCTTCATCCATGGTCGAGGCATTGGTCAGCGACCAGCGCCCTCTACACAAACGCAACGGCCGCGGGTTTGGGGTATTCCATGTCAACCGGGACAGTCAAAATCGGCCGCCACCTCTGCGATTTTGTTTAAACTTGGTATACTTATTGGCTATTGGGTGAAAACTCTGAAGGTAAAAGGATTTTGACATATGCCCTCCGGCTACAGAGATACAAGCGGCTAAACTTCTGCTTTTTGAGAAGAATTGGATATGTATTGCAATCTTGTATGTAAGATCTATGTACAGCTTCAACATTTTTGAAGACATATATTTCAAACAAACTGAAACGTGTACATAAGGAGTTATTCTAGCTGAATTCGGCAATTTTCACAATTTTTGCCAATTTTAGAATTATTTTATTTCAAATTAATTTCTTAAATATAATTGTGAAAAATAGGTACCCTTCGATTATGCTCAAATTAAGATATTGTCTTCCCCTGCACGTAAGGCACACGTGCTGAGAAAATTAGAGTGGGCCAACGATAACTTTGGGTGACATAGCAACAAGTATAGGGTAGGGTGGGGTAATTTGAACATGTGGGGCAATTTGAACATAGTGTGAATAACACAAAATTACGGAAAATCCATAAGTGGCATGACAATAAGACCAATGAGAGAAATTATCGTAACTAAAAGGGCTATCATATGAACGGGGTTTAAAGTTTCAGGGAATGAAGATGTTGACGCACAGTGTAAAAAATCAATTTCGCAAGGAAAAACGCCTAACAACACGTCATTGCAACTTCATTGCAGCGCAAAATCTTGCATTGCTAGCGCCTAATACGCAACGGCTTTTGTTGTATAATGACCTAATCAGTGCCTTCAATCCAATAAATTTGCTTTTGAACCCTGTTTTTTAAAATGGCAAAATAACTTTTAGCGTGGGGTAATTTGAACATAGTGTGAGAATTTCAATGAAGACAGGGATACCTCCGAAAAAAACAACGCTCCCAGTTTTTTTTGCCAATATTTTCGAACCAAAGCAGTAACAGATAAGTGATGCCAGTTTTAGAAAATTTACGTCTAATATCCGTCTAATGTCCGGCATTTTCGTTGATTTTCCGTCCAAAAATGTTAAAGTCAACTATTTGTCCAAATATGTCCGAATATTATGCAGCTATCAACACTCAAAACCGTCATTTATATTGCTTATCATGTAATTTTACCAGCCGAGAAGTGTTCATTATATTGAGAGCTTAACAAGCTTTCCATTCGCCAATCAATGCTATGCACGATTACTTTATAAAAAGCGCTGAAGTGTAGCAAGCCATCGTCCAATGTTGTCCAGTCTGCTACCTTTGTCCAACCAATTCCGAATTGGACATTGGACAAAATCAGAACTCCAAATGTCCAGGTTTCGATTGGCACCACTTTAACAGATGTAGTAAGGTTGGGAGAGTTTTTATCGAACAAAAATGATAGACGTTCTGTTAATTGAAGAGGGGCGAATTCTGTCAACTGATCGGTGTGCAGCGTGCAGATATTGATACTCTGCAACTGTTATTTTTGCTGTTGTGTTGATTTTTCAAGTGAAGGTATGTTTAGAATTGTTCTGCCTATTTGTTTATGGGTCAAACAACATCGGTGCTGGCGAGAATATCGTTTTTATGACAGGTAAAGGCAGTATGTTCAAATTACCCCACGTTGGGGCAATTTGAACACACCGTGACTTGGTGGAGAAGTGAGGCTATGCTATTCAAGGTATGCTCGGCTCGTCCAAAAATGAGGCTTGCATGGTGAAAGCAAGTGACACTTGCGCTACTGAAACAGTTTTTCTTCATCCAGGGTTGAACTGGAATTTGGTACAACGGAGAAGACGTAAAAGTATGTTCAAATTACCCCACACTACCCTAGTATGTATAGCTCGACCATGACCAGCTATTTTCGTGGCTTGCCTTAGTAGTTATTGTGCCGAGTGTACCCACCTCGTAATCTATAGGTCGCGGGCTCGGGGCCGGTGAGCCTCAAGCACGCATTCGTTTCTAAGTAGCATTTGGCCAGCCGGCAACTGTCGTAGGGGAAGCCGGGAGAAGCCCGGCATAGTAAGCTCTTTTTCATTTTTATTACATACCATACGTGCTGTATAAAATGTTGATATCCTGCTAGCTAGTTAAGTTCATTGGCCGTGTTTTCCCCAAAATTCGGTTTCGTGGAATAGGTATAAGGTTGAGAAAATCGAGTTTTAAAAAAGTGTTGATTTTTCTGGGGTAAGCCCGGCATAGGGGTAACGCCGGCCACCTCCCCAGCGCTTTACAACGAGTTGATGAAACCATTATAAGTTTTTCAAATATTAACGGAAAGTGAAATATTAAGGTACTGATTAGCTCTGGACATCTTAGAGTTAATGTCACTACTGGTATTTCAGCTAGCGTCTACTACATATACAGTACAGGTCGATGAAAATCGTGATGCAAAATTGACAAAAAATATGTATTTCAAAATTCCTTAAAATTTATTTTTCTTTTTACCTTAATGCATCATATTGCATATCATTCGACTCGGCTGATGAAGAAGAACACAACGACACCATTTTTGAAGCTCTAGCTTCACTGTCTGTCGCGTTATCTGCAAAAACGTAGTTTGACCCTAGTTGACCTTAAGTGACATGACTGGCTTTGTCTATGATAACATGTTTATTTTCGAAATTTATCTTTGATCTAGGTGTAAACCAAACCTGCTCAGTACCTATTATCTCATGGAAAACAGTGGTTTAGTGGCATTGCTCTTGGTTGGGGGTAAGCTTGGCCACTCGCCCGGGGTTACCCCAATGTGCTAATTTTTATTTTAGAACAGCGATATTCGAAAAAATGTCATACTTAAGCCAGCCTGCCTCGTCACCCCTCACTACAAACACTTAAACGGTCCTTACATAACATTCGTATAAATATTAGTACTGTATGGTATAACATTAACAGTGCAACATATCTCACTTTTTAGCTAAAACCCCTTAAAATATCATTTTTGCGCTATAACTTTAACAATATGCAATTTTTGTCAGTCTTAACTTTTTTGCTGGCGTTACCTTAGCTGCCACGCTGAAAGGACAAACAGTTGAGCATTTTATTGTGAATAATTTAGCCGGAAACGGGGTGGCCGGGCTTCCCCCGCGCCCGGGCTTCCCCCGGCTTCCCCTACTGAGGACTAATGTTCGTTTCTAAGTAGCATTTGGCCAGTTGGCAACTGTCGTGAGGGCTATGCATATTTATGAGTGTTAGATAAGGTCAGGTCAGATTAGGTGTGCTTTGGATTGGTTAGGTTAGAAAGAAGCATCTCCGGGTAGCGCCTCTCCTTGGTTGCTAAAACGAAGCACGCGAGTGCCAGATGTTACAAAGTCCAAAAGACAGCTACGTAAACGTCGGCCCATTCTGGATATTTTATATGATGTAAGTAAGGTGTAGGAAAATGCAATGTGTATAAATCAGCAAAATCGAAGGGTATCCATTTTTGTCAAATTCAAAATTTGGTAATTGATTTTTAATTAAGTTCATCAATTAGTTAATGACGTCATTAATTTTATCTTCAAAATAAATCCTGATCTACTTCCTCCATTTCAAAATTTATTACGCTGCAAAATGTATAAAACTTTTGAAGTTATGGCACTTTAGAGATGATAATGTGTCTTGCCTAAGTCAATGTTTGATGACGTGTATCTCGGAAACGTGAGGTCATATCTTGACAAAAAATGTCTCCTTTCTTTTCACATATAGATTAAAAGTTTTACAAAGTTTCGCAAAAATCGGAGAAGGTGAGGTTCAAAATTGTCATGTTTTGTCCCACTTGACGTGGAATGCCCGTTTTACAGCAATAACTAAAACAGGGGATCTTATCGATCTGTTTATCAAGCACGTGTCCTCAGACCGTCGGTCCCGAAATGCTTATATCGAATTTCTGCTAGCATACTTCCTTTCTCCTGAGCAGGTATTGCAGGTATATGGGTCTGTTCCTTTGGCTCCTCAGAAAAAAGATGAAAGGAGCTTTGAGGAGGTTGGAGGAGGCCGTATTTCGTCCCGATGTCGGTGACCACTGGAACGCAGTTCGGAGGAGATATCAGCTGTTTGTGGAAAGAAAATGTTTACAATCCTGGCGCATTTCACTCATGCTCACGTCTGACAATAGTAGACAAAAAATAAAATTCGTAATAAAATTCGTTCGAATATCGGATAACTTCTCTAATTTCATCCGATAGATACGCACACTGATAACTAGGCCGCACGGTGCACCTGTTTTGTATTTGCCGCGCCATTTGTGTCGTCCATAGTCTCCTCAGAAAAACCACCTTTCATTTCGGAGCAGGTTAGAGGAGGTTTGAGGCGAGTTTCAGAGGAGCTTTGAGGAGGTTGGAGGAGCCACTGGAACAATTTCATGAGCTTTGAGGAGCTTTGAGGAGGTTAGAGGAGCCAATGGAACAGGCCCTATGTTTACCCAGCACAACACACCTTTAATCAACAGGCGACTAGTTATCTTATTCAAAGTAATTTATCTATACCTATTCGCAAAACGCAAGTTTTCAAAATTATTCTTCATGGGTAAAATGAAGTTATCTTCTAAACGTTGACAATCAAAATATTTGATAACTATTAGGTACTGATGACTGACTGATAAGCATTAGGTACTCACAGCAAATAAATGATGATTCGATTGATTATTGATTGATATCCCTTTCCAGCATCCATATAATCACACATGCATAATCTAGTGACAATAATTTAACAATATATGACTAATGTACTACTGTTCTAATATATTATAGCTGTGTTACTGCTTTTAGGTTATCCGACAACGCTCACAAAAATGCCGACAAATAATGCCACATTGGAAACTCACTGAAAATACACTCTGTGCGCCAAATAATCGGTCGCTTACCTTTCGCTGTCGCCTGTGGCCGGTATCGATGGTGGGTCGGGCGGCAGCCAGGGCCCGGTAATGGTGACTCAGGTGCTGCTGCAGCGTCAGGGAAGAGCCACTGGAGCTTCGCGCCGCGTCACTGCCTGCGGGCGGCGCACAGAAGAGCTCGTCGCAGCAGCTCCCAAACGAGTTACAACCGTGGTAGTCTCTGAGCTGTGATACTCTCAATCTAGTCCCCATGTACATTCCTAACTTGATAAGCTATTACGCAGCTTAGTTTTGAAGTGGGTCGAATTTCTTATATAATTTAATAAGATGAATGTATTGCAAAAAGTTAACTATGCATGTTTACTGCTTATCAAGAACGTACAAGAACTGCCTATCATGAACAGCAACTTGCGTGAAATAGGTAAGTTGCATTTTCTACAAGGTCCTAAACACGGACGTATATATAAATGGTCCTAAAACACGATTTTCAGGTATTTTGAGCTGAGAAAATTTTCAGGGAGTTTCAAGCTTCTTTCAGGGTTCCGGTTCTAAACTAGAAAACTTGCATGCAAATATTATCTGGCGCCTCGCATTCAAGGAAATTCCTTATAATAGCTTGGCTTGGAGGGATGTTTGGAATCTTACAGAGGGAAATAGCAGGGGAATGCAATCACGAATAATGGAACACAAGGACTACGAAGCGACGCCTACAACACCTTTTTTGTTGTTCCTGCGCATTCCACAAATCAGTAAATCGGGATGGAGCAATTGAGAAAGTGCCAGCGACATGTGCGAGCAGGGGATATAGTAAGTGAAAGGGACCGAAGCGGCGGGGTGGTTGTACTTACAATGAATGTACTATCAATACCAAAGTGAGGTTTATTACTTTGGCAAAATTACCAGTGATTCGTACTAAAAATCAAATGAATGAATATGCTATAAGCCGTTTTCACGACAGCTATCTGGTACACATTTGGTTCATATTTAGTGCAGATTTGGTGCACATGTGGTCAAATATTAGGTTCAATGTGTTTCTGAGTAGTTACAGTATGTAGAATCCGCCTAATAAATCTTCGGATATAAAGTTCAACCGCTTATTGTGGCCGTTTGAGCTGTTCACGGATTGTCTCCATAGATGCCCATTGCCCATAGTAAATAAATTTGCTTAATAAATCCAGGTACTCCGCTTAATAAAGCCATTCGGGAGTTCGAAGCCCACAGTGACGTCTTCCCCATCGAGATGTGGCATCCAGCCCGCTCCCAATGAGCCGTACTGTAGCAGCAGTCTGCAGCAGTTGGACTTCGCGCAACAGAGGGAGTTCAGGGCTACAATGTTAGCGTATCCACTTGTATTGCAAGCGGAGCCGAACGTGCAGCTGCAATGCAGACTTGTCATGAAAATAGCTGACTCCGGTTCATAAAGCCACCACTTTATTAACTGGTTTATCAAAAGTCCTTGTCACCAAGGTGCATTTATTAAGCGAACTTTGCTTTATCATAGTTATCAGCTGGGGTTGCACTAGATGCTTCTATACCTGATTTTTACATTATCAGACATTATTTTCGACGAAAACACTGAAATAAATTCATGATATGAAGATAATTGTAACAATTCAGTGTATTAGAGTGTTTATAATGACTTCCGTCTAAATGAGGCGACTTTCAAATTTCTCCCATTGACTTATAATGAGGAGCTCGCCAAATTTACCTGACCTTAGGTCATCGCATAGATAACAGTAGAACTGTTCTACTGTTATCTATGGTCATCGATATCAAAATTCCAAGATAAACATTTTGTACATACATAATGCTGCTTATCAAACTCTGAAGATTTCAAAGCGATCGGTCACTCGGTGAAGCTTTGGCAGACATTGAACCTTTTGATGTATGTGGTGAGGTCACCTGACCTGACCTTAAGTGACCTGGGTCTAAAATTTTCACGACATATGTAGAAGTGCCAAAAACGGCGGCGCGAAGCGCCACCGTTTTTGGCACACCTGTTTGTGCATCTTCTCCGCACATGTTGTGAAAATTTCAGACCCAGGTCGCTCAAGGTCAGGTCACCAGGTCACGCCAAGTGACCTCACCTCAGGAAATAATAGAACTCGTCCTAGCTACACCGACTGAACGATTCCCTTGAAACTTTCAGCGATGGATAGGAGTAACAGTATCTATAACACGTATATCTCGAAATTTTGATATCGTTGACCTAAGGTCAGGTCAATTTTGCGGCCTCTCCATTATAAGTCAATGGGAAAAAATTGAAAAGCGTATCTTCTGCACGAGAGCCATTCTAGACACTCTCAAACATCGGGATGCAGGTAAAATTGATACACGGAAACGGAAAATGGCACCTGTGACCCCTCATTATGTCCCCGAGGTCATTTCAGGTCACGAATAGTATCTAACAATTTTTCGCTAATAGCTTCTAATAGGGGCATTCTAGAGCGATAGAAACGCCTTAGATGTGTTCGGCTCGACGATGCAGATCGACTGATATGCAACATAACCTTTTCCGGTCATGTCACGACCTTAACCTGAGGTCATATTTTTAAGTTGACCTTTCAAGGTTATACTATAATTCATTCGAAGCGTCTCGACGAGGGGAACACGATGCTGGCAAAAGTTGCGTCGTGGCTCTTTTGAGTCAAAAGTTATTGGCGAAAAAATACGTCGTAAAAACGGTTATTTTTTTAGTGTTTGACCTCTGGAGGCTAAACCGTTGACCCTCTAAATTCTACACCTTTTATGTCTGAAACATTTTTCAGTATCTCTAAAGCTGTAGGCCTGACAGCTCTTCTCGCGAAACCTTTTTTTGGGTCGAAAATGGCAGAAATGACGTCACTTTGACGTCATTAGCGGCCAACCTATCATAACCTTTGCAAAAAATTGGTCATAATGTGCAATAGCCATTCAAGGGAGGGTACTGAAAGTTTGGTGACGATCGGCGCAGCGGTTCTGGAGATATATCGAAAAAAGTAAAGGGGGGGGGGGGCAAAAAAATGCCCTCTACCACCTGGAAGGTTAAAGACATCATCTGTGATAAAAACTAACACGATATTCGTGATCAGCACCCCAAAAATCCCATAGCAGCCACACTATACGACTTTCTAACATGAACAGGTCCCGATTTTCCCGACTTTTGGGTCATTGACCTGACCTGGAAGGTCATCCAATGACCTAGGACCTTAACCCTAGAACGCCTAGGGGGGGGGGGTGTATCAACCCCCCCTGAGGTTTTTTCGAAGTGCACGCTAAACGGCTTGTCGTAGCGGGCTGAAATTTTCAATACCCTCTGGGGCAACCTTTGCGCATCTTTTGCCGAAAAAAAATTGATCGGGTCATGTCAGGTCACGGAGTTATGACGTCATAAAGGGAACAACCTCCGGCCAGATTTACGCTAAATTGGAGATTGCTTCACATTGGTATAAATGCCGACTGACCTGACACACTGATGGATTGTTTTAGAACCATAACTGGCTGACTTGACATTGGCACAATGTCCGTTGACCTTTTCAAGGTTACTAAAGGTCAAGGTCAGGTCAGTGACCTCGGTTGACCTGTAATGACTTCTTGCACTTGTATGCCTTTTCGGGGTATTTTGATGCCCTGAATTCGAATTTGCTATCCATTTCAGGCATCGTCGGTTGTTTCTTGTAGTTCATTTTGGGTCAGGGTCAGGTCAGTGACGTCACACGCCTGACGTGACCCAATGCACAAATGACCTTGCAGACTTCCGATGCTCCCAACGCATCATGTTTAGAGTTATGACATCGAAATACGCACCAAACGATAGAGAATTGATCAAGGATCACGATAGTGAAGGTTTCAAGTCGATATCTCTTACCGTTTTGCCGCAATCGGCGCGGAAATCTGAAAAAGTTAGATTTTTCCGAAAATTTGACCTTTGACCGGTCATAAGTAGGTCAAATGTTGACCTAGGACCAAAAAAATACCACCAATCGCGAGATCTCGTTGAGAGCAATCCGTTGGTTTTTTCCGCTAAGCTCTACGACCTTCCGTTTCGAAACGCCAGGGGGGGGGGGTCTTAACAACCCCCCCCTGGTCGTTCGTGTTATGAGAAATGGCCTGGTCGTGCGAGGGTTAAAATTGGGTATCATCGGCTTCCTCTCGTGACGGGCAACACGCTCGTGTTTTTTTTTTTACCGCGAAGCTCTAGCTTGATCAGGGGCCAAACGGCAAGAAGGAAGGTCCAACCGACCCCCCCCCCCCTACACGTTAGAAGCTGGCAAACACCGCACACATGGGATGGTTAAGTACATTTAACGTCTCTTCAAGCGCGAAAAGTATTTATTTCGTTCTTATCTATCGTCGCCGGCAGTAATGGCGGACGCGGACTCTCACGCGATCCGCACGATCCGATCTACCAGTTGCCAGATCGTATCGGGCCTAGCGATTTTTATCTTTTGCCGCCAGCCACGCTCACCATGCATACGATCACCATACGCTTACCATCCGCTCCGATCAGTTTCGGCAGTCAGAACCAGGCTTAACCGGTCTCTAGTGATGTGCCGAGTTTGAGGGCAATCGGCCCAGCCGTTCTCGAGATCTGGAAGCGTCACCCTCCACGTGCGCACGTGCAAAATGGGTCCCAACTGACTTTGCATGGCACCCTACTAACCGGTCCCTAACCATGTACCAAATTTCAGCACAATCGGTTCAGCCGTTCTCAAGATCTGGAATCGACCGCTTCACGTGCGCACGTGCAGCAGTACCCTGACTGTGGCACATGGATATGCATTGCCTGGTAGGTACCTACCTATATGCCAACTTTCAGTGCAATCGGCCCAGTAGTTAACGAGATATTGCAATTGTTACAAAACTGACACCTCTTTGTTTTGCACGTGGCACGTGCATAAGGGGTCATCCACATGCATCGGGAATAGTCCAATGCTTGGTAGAAGGAATGAAGCTTAGCTACTTTACAAAAATTATCGCATTTAAATCGGTCAAGTGGTTGCTGAGATTTGGCCTCGCAAAAGCGTCCGCACGGCCGGCCGCTCATGCTCAGAAATTTCCGTTAATCTACGAAAGACTACGCTCGCTTCACTCGCTCCGTATTCTGTAAAATTGTGTTAATTTCAGTCAGACAGGCATGATAGGATGAAGTACAGAGTAGTCAAGGCTATAGAAC